GGAGGTGTTTTAACTTCTGCTCGCTTTTTAAAATGTATCTTCCTTTTTTATTTAAATTCTATTTTAAGTGTATTTTTGAGAACAGTTAATTGTGCAGTAGTGTTTTATGAAGCTCTAAAAAATTCATGGTATATCAGCTAGAAATTCACTTGTTTAATTATCGTAACATGATTTCATTTTAAATGTATTGTTAAGAAAAGATAAGAATAACAGTTATATTGTGCGGTAGCGTTATGTTATACTGCATAGAATTCATTGTAAATCAGCTATTAAATCGCTTATTTAATTATCATAACTACAGATGTGAAGGCGGTTGTTAACGTTTTCAACAAAGCCGATAACAACGGTTGTTTTTGTCTTGAAATTGATAAAAATTGTGCAGTTGCGTTTTGTTAAGCTTTAACCTTTTGAGCGCCACGCCAAAAACGCATTACCGTGTCCTGTACGCCAAAGCGCCAAAACAAAATAGTGTTGCCAAGAGTTGATATATCGATAACGTGAAATAACTTGTTTTTGTTGGTTTTTTATGCTATAAATGACTCTTAATAAACTGTATGTTTTATTTAATCTTGTGCCGTCTTCCACTCTTTTTATATATGTACTTTGTACATATAAACATAAATAAAAAACAAACAATAACAATAAAATAGTAGTAAACATTAGCACTACTCTCCATCCTAATGACGACACTGTCGCGACTGGACGACAACGGCGTAGCTGACCTTCCCTTTTGAAACATTCTTAAAATGTTGTGTATCGATTTCAAAATCGATCTAACCGAAATATACAGACATCGATTCATAATATTTTATGTGTCGGGGAAGGCGTAGGCCAAGTGACGCACAGAAGAAAAGTCTTACACTCTTATGACAATGGGGATTTGATATGATGCTGATGCTGCTAGATGATTTTGAGACTGAGAAAGAAAATGGCACAACACAAAATGAAAAATTGCTCTTCACACCCTAAGTAAAAAAAATCATTAATTGTAATTTTGTATTATAATTAAAAAAAGGTACATAATTATTCATTAATCAACAATTGTATATAATTATTCGCACTAGGTAAATCAGCCTTATAATACTAAAATCTTGGTCATGGAATAAATAAACATATTTGTTCACCAATCAATCAAAAATTCAATTCATCAATCAAAAATCAAAATTCATCATCATCGACGCTTTCCAAAATCCGAATGAGTTCTGAGGAATCGTTCATGTTGCATTGCTCTACTTTTCTCGGTAATCACTTATGACGTCATCAGGGTGTCGTCTATCCTTGATCACGGTGCCCAGTGAACTGATTTTCGATGACGCGCTAAAGATGCGCTAGAGTTGAGATATTAGATTTATTATGCGAAGATAATCTGATAACATTTTTTTATTCATGTAGCTAATTATAGTTTTATGTTTATAACCTTTAATTTTATTCAAATATCAATAATAATAGAAAAAAAAAACACCATTGAGCTGAATTTTGGATAGTTTTCAAGAAATCTATGCCTCCCGCGTTTGACACTAGCGGTCAACCATGGACGACTTTGGCGTGCTGGACATAGTATTTGCTTAGATAAAATTCCATTTTTATTAGTTCAATGTTTCTTAGTACTTGTGGCTCTAGAAGACTTGTTTTTTTATACTCACATGTTGCTGGGTTATTCCTATTTTGAGGAGTATAGAATTAAAATACCTGTAATAATTTTCCAATATCTATATTTCATATTTTTCGGAGCCGGGTTTTTTGTCAACTATAGACGTCGTTGGCGCTCAGGGCCCGCAGGTGTTGGTCAAGTATAGGCGACTTTGCCGCTCAAAAGGTTAAAGGATTCATGGTAAATGAGCTGGAAACTAACTTGTTTCGTTATCATAACGTGATTCTATTTTAAATGTGTTGTTATAAACAGATAAGAATAACTTAACCGATCTTCTTTAAAAACAGATAAGAATAACAGTTCTTATCTGTTTTCAAAGAAGATTGGTTAAGATTAACAGTTAAATTGTGCCGTAGCATTTGTTACTCTCTAAAGAATTCATTAGAAATCAGCTAGTAATTCGCTTGTTTAATTATCGTAACATCATAATTATTTAAAAATTATATTAGCACTGTAATGATGACACCGTAAATAATCGATCGAAAAAAGAGAATCGATTTTTTAAATGTGTTTTGTGATTGGCAACACTTTTTTTTTATTCACAAACTAATGACATAATGATTTACCTAATTTTTATTATTATGTTTCCGGTACTTTTAATTTGTGCAAAAATATTCCCATTGTTTGAGGATAAATGAATACCGCGATTAATAACCATATATAAATATATAATTTTTTAACAAATTCACATTGTTGGGCGTTCCATGGCCGAAAATGGGCGTCCCCCTTTGATGAGTTTTTCGACATAATTCATGCATCCCAAATTGCTTTGTGTAAATTATGCCAACATAAAAAAGGTTGAAATTAAAATGAAAAATAGAAACACTTCAGGCTTAAGGAAACATCTAATATCTTTCCACAAAAAAGGAATCACAAAATTTATTCCTGAAAAACCAAAATTAAGTGGAGATATCACAAGCTTTTAGTGGTAGTTATATATATATAGATTATAGTGTTAAATATGTATTTATAATTCATTCATATTTTCATTTGTTTTTATAATCGGCGAGACACATGATTAACTGTTTTATTTTAGTCTGAAAATAGCTGTGACAACATCACGACAGCTACAGTTGATTGGATGGTTAAAAAATATCTTCCCTTCTCATTTTTCGATGACGAAGCTACACAAGTACATTTTCGATCAATTTGCCCAAATATGGTGTTTCCTAAAAGGTCCACACTTAGAAGGAAGGTCAAAGAACGGATTGAAGAGCTTCAATTGAATCTTAAGAAACGACTACAACAATTTTCATCAAAAATGTCATTTACCATTGATGGATGGACGTCAATTGCTGGTAGGAGTTACTACAGGGTCACTATTCATTATAGAGACAACGAATGGAAGTATCGATCTGTAGTCCTTGATTTTATACCATCACGCGGTCGATTTACTGGGGAAGATATTGCAACGATTTTCCACGAATGTTTATTGGAATATGACATAATTGATAAAATACAGGGTATCACGGTCGACAACGCAACTGCAAATACCAAATTTATGTATGAATTGGACAAACAGCTGCCACACTTTGATTCAGACAATCAACATTTCCGGTGCTTTGCTCACATTTTGAACCTTGGTGTATAAGATTTATGAAAGACGTGAGCATTACACAGTGAAACTGACAATAAGGGACAAGAACAGCAGTATGAAGATAATGAAGACGAAACTGAGGAAGATGAAGAATATGCGCCAAATATTGCTGACTCATGTAGAGCTATAACAAAATTACGCAGTATTTTCAGTAAAATAAAAAGAAGTGAGATATTGAAGTGGAAGTTTCAGTCTGCTTGTGAAGCAGCTGGCGTGCCATCAAATCTGAACCCCATAATCGACTGTCCAACGAGATGGAATTCCACACATGATATGATTGGATTTGGTTTAAAAGTGAGAACTGGCATTAACATATTGTGGACTTCTGTTACCGAATTGAATGATTTTCAAATCACAGATAGGGAATGGCAAATACTCGAAAAAATATATAAGTTTCTAATAAACTTTAAACTTCTATCAACGGAACTTGGTGGAGAAAAATATGTTACATTACCGCTAGCCATTGTATCATTCAATCTCTTGCTCGATAAAATTGAATCCATGGTAATACAATTAGATGAGAAACCTAATCGATCCGAAGTGGATGAAAGGCCCATTCTGGGTTTTCAAGCAGCTCGAGACAAAATGTAAAAAGAGCAACTGGATTTATTGTACCTCTTTAATTTTAGACCCAAGGCATAAGACTCACACTTTTGACATGACATTATGGGGGAAGCAAATTAAAACAGAAAGCCTGCGCAAATTTAATGAACTTTATAAAGAATATAAAAGTCTACACTCAGTGAATACATCTCTAGAATCCCAAGAAATGAAAAGAAAGTATGTGAATATGATGAAGATGAAGACGTAATAGACTTTGAGAAATTGTATGCATGTCCCTCGACGCCATCTGGATCTGGATCTTTTCATCAAGTCTTAGTTATAGACGAGTTGGAGGAGTACCTAAGTAAACCCAGAGCCGCCAATTCGGAAGACATTTTAGTGTGGTGGACGACGCATGAGACAGAATATCCGACGTTATCGAAGATGCCCCGTGATTTTCTTTCAATACCTGCAGCTTCAGTACCTGTTGAGAGATTATTTTCTAAAGCATCATTAGTAATTAGAAAACATAGAAATAGGTTAAGTGATGACTCAGCCAGATGGTTGCTTTGTATTAATTCTTGGTCAAAAGAATTAATATAAAGTAACAGTAAGACAATGTCAAAGCTGTTGTGTACTGTTATGTAATTTAATTTGTATTGTATTTCATTTTTTTATTTAAATAAATGGTAAATTGTATAACTCTTTTATTCCATTTCATATAATGGTCTATCAATCTCTTTCTAGACAGATAATGTTCTTTATAATACAGTCAAGTTAATGTCATTAATTTGTTTTTTATCACAAGAACAAGACTGAGAGCGCAATACCAAGACCAAGAACAAGACCATGTGTATTGGCGCAAGACCAAGACCAAGACTGGCTAAGTCTCGTCTTGTTCATCATTTCATCCAAAAAAAATCCCCGTTGCCCTGCCGGAACTGCCAGCATAATGCGGTCGTAAATTGTTTTTGTTCATCGTTTAGTAGTTGAACATTGCGAGTAACAACCGTTGCCAGTTCTACAGTATTATACTGCATTTCACAATTCATATCTGTGTTGATTAAATCAGATGCACTTCGATGTGGTGAACTCATACTGAAATCACTGATTGGTAAATTCGCAATGTCAATGCAATAATTCTTGATAGCAATCAATGCTTCATTGTATATTACATCACTGAATGATATCGTTAGATCGTGGCACCTTTTACGATGGCAATACATCATCAGTCATTGAATTTTTGTGATTATCCCATAACATTTGTGAATGGGTCGGGAAACATGTAGTCAGAACTATAGCAAATAGTAGACGAATTTGTTTTCCTGTGCAGTTTAAAGCTGCTTCAGCAAGCATACTGTCCCAATGATTGTCGTCTTCCAGCAATCCTAGTGCAAGGCATGCATCTTTATACGTCGGATACTGTTGTCCACTTACTTTACGTTTATCTTGAAATGATAATGGTGTGGTGACATTAACCAATTGGATTGACTGTATATACATGACCCAAATTATTTGATTTTAATAAACCGGTGTAGTGTAGTGCTCCCACGTTAATATACTTTAGTGTTAAGGTAAAATAATGAGCAGTATAATTAAAGATCTAGAACAAACCACACGTCTCTCTTCATTGACACTTTTGATATATTACACCGGAACGTGCATCGAATGGTGTGCCTTGCTTGTATAGCATCCATTTTTTCGATTGAGCCCATGTACAATAGCGTGGTACTTCTGAATAGAGCAGTGTTTGTGCGAACGACTACATAATTCAAAAAATTCGGTGAGAGTAGTTTTTGTGGATTCATAGCACGATCAAGCACTGTTTTGTTCGTGAAAATACGCGCTGGCCATTTTTAAGATGCACGGCTAAATGGATAACTGCTGGATCCCGTTCATGAATTGGGAAACAGTAGCTAGGCCAGACAGCTTCATTGGAGCTGATATACCGGCCAATTTGGTAATTCGTTATTTCATTATTTTTTTTTAATTTATCTATTGAAAGGAGAAGCATTTACATTAGTATTTTACAGAAATACACCCATATTACTTTCTTTATTCACATACTTGCAAATATATTTGATGCTGTTCACCGAACTGCAGAACTCAATATTAATATGAGCATTGAATGTTTTGCTCAACAGAGCTGAATATGGTACTGCCCAACGATTATCGATGTTTGGGTTACTGAAAGTTTTAATGAATGTTTGTTCGCCATTATCGGTACTTCTTCGACTATATATTGGATATCCGCTGTACGATGATGGTAGAATGACAGAGTTACCATTTTTGACAGTATCAGCGTTGTTCGCAATAGCATCCCGCAAGGGAATGTATTTCTCCGCACGCAGCTTCTGTTGGTGATGTCGCAATTATCGTAGTCGTTCACAATCGTTTCTATCTTAACGTACATGTCCACCATGATTTGTTGGTAAAGCTCACGACATCATAAAATGACATTGTCTTGACCGCGTCTAATCATTAAACGATACGCATAATAATCTTTGGAGCTAACGTCCTTCTTTGTTTCGGCCCCTGTAATGATATATATTTAAATTAATTGACTTTTTATTACTTAATAAGAAATAAATTATGTTTTTAATAATGAGTGAATTACCTGTTTCGGGATCTCGTTCTTTAATGTTTGTACAATATCCGTCTTGTCCTTTCCAGAAAATAAGCGGATATTGAAGAGCGTCATATGAACGGAGGGTATCAGCAATGAACTAAAGATTATTATTTCTTCTTCAAATCACGATTTATCGCGTAGCTGTACGGTCGCCCACCATGATTCCAGCAACGTCGTCAACAACAGGTGCGTTGAATCCACGTATATGCTCTCCATCTGGTGGGAGGATTGATGACAATAGCGTGATTGTGACTTTGTAGCTTGCGCATGTGTCATTTTAATAATTACAACTATTCATTATGCTCATTTAACAGAGCTCCAGCTCGCCGACGATGAACCTGGCAAAAGCTGAACTGAGGTTATTGTAGTCGCAACGTGCATCCACGTGATTGGCGAGTGCGCGTTCGGAGTCCTCGTCACCCATTAAGTAGTAATATTTTAGAGAAGGTAGTAATATTTTAGAGAAGGTGATGTAATTTCGTGACAGCATTTCCCTCTTACAAAGTTTGAACTACTCGGTTCATTATTCTCTCTCCGTAGAACCGGGTGAATATCAATTGAGTACAGTAAATGCAAATGAATCCCGTAAAGTGACCCTATGTCGATGGGTAGTAGAGGTGGTCAATGGACGTATTGAGAGATTTTAAGCTGCTGCGCCAGAAATATATTAATAGAGCGTCTAATCATTTGATGCAAGACTTTAAGGTGGCAACAGCATTAATAAATAAGTTTCACCCGATTCTAGAAGACAGAGAGGATGCTAGGTTAATAATCTCCATAATACAGGAAAGAATGTTTACCCCTAATTCATTGTCTGATTTTGTAGAACGCAATAACTTAAATAGAAGACGGGCCCAGTTTGAAAGTATTACTGCCAATAATGAGAACTTTTTAGATTTTCCATTTTAGATATGATTTTAATACCGTTAGGTGTGTATCAAATTAAGGAAGTCCGTTCATACTACAGTGAACATGTGAGACGTGATGGTTCGTATGTTAATGAGGTGTGCAGGGAGATCGATCAGAATTTAATTAACGACGAATTAATTAACTCTGAAACCATATGGTTATTACGAGGCCAAGTTCACAGCCGTCATATCGGCAATAAAACATATTTTGTTTATATTTTAGTCACTAATAGGTCGACAAGCAATCGTGCAATATTGCTGTAATTGCATCGTTGGGCGCAGAACCATCGGTTGCTGCGCCCATGTTATGACAATTATTTGGTACTTGAGCTTTGCGCGACATCAAAGTTATATCGACCTCCCTGCACAGTTTTTAGACAATATTTTATCAAAAAAACAAACTTTTACAATATTAATAAAGATAAAACTTCTTCTACATAATTATAACATAAATTAGGTAGTTCTCATAACACCCATTTAACATCTCAGGGAGGAAGGGGTGCCTAAAAAGCAGCGCTTCATGGGATCTTAGTTCCATGTAATCAGAAGCCAAGTCACCTCCGTTTGCCTAAATTTAATTAAGGTTAAATAATTAGTTTATATGTAAACATGTTTATTAAAAGTGGCAATAAAGTGATATTTATTTATTTAGTAAGTTCGCTGGGATGCTTTCATAGTCAATCGTTTAAAGAACGCCGTCCAGACGCACACGCTTGCAAATGCTCTAAATAATAGTCGCTTTTTATATTCACGCCGTTCAAGCCCGCACTGTTGAAACATAGTTGAAACGCTCGCTGTCGGCTTGACAGTGAAACCGACCTAGATCCTTGCATATTTCGGTATTAGGTGTCTTACTGTACCGTATATACCTACTAATGACACCATCTCAAAATATCTGCTATCTTGCCATTATATACATACATTTCTATTTTTGAATTAACACACAAAAATTATATCTAATTCAAAAACCAATGCTAAAAAAGCAGGTATGTTACCCAGATTCTATGCATTTTTACGTTGCACTTACATCTACACTTAGGCTTTAGAACAAAAACTGTATACTTAATTATCTAGGTGGCTACTAAAAATAGCTAAATCTTGTAGGAAATTGTTTTTCAGTTTCTAAAAATCACTATGAACTATGAAAAACCATTATATTCGTGGTTCGATTATAACCTCAAAATCTGATACTTTTTTTGGAAATATATCTGTTCTGCAGCTAGTCCGCTATCAAAATAAGATCATATAGGAATTTACTAATGATCGACAATATAACACATAATTTTTCGATGCTATTGGTTCCGGGACGAACAATGTATGGGCGCAGAGCAATGTCCTTTGTAAAAATTTATGAGATTCGTTTGGCATTGGCAGCAATGAGCCCACTTTGTGATAAACTTGGCCTTTGATTTTAAACGTGAAAAATAATTGTTGACCGTTTGCAGTAACATTTTGAACTATTTCTGTTGCTCCGAACGATGACGTTTGGAAACGTGAATTGATTGTGGGAATTTAGACTTTAGGAACAGGCTAGAATCTGGATCCGTACCAATAAGTAAGCCGTGCAATGGTTCAGGTGGTGTTTCAACTTCCATTAGTTGCACTTTTCTTGATGAGCACCACATCCCAACTGGCTCATTTTTAAATTTATGCGCATGAGAGTGCACGCACGGTTTGTCCAAGTACAAGTACCAATGACCACTTTTAAATGAGCATAATATTCAACATCAGGCTTATACTGGAATGCTAGTCGAAGGAATGAATCTGATGTAAATGCTCGAAGTACTTGTTAGCGTTGTTAGTTAATTGCTCTACGTCTATTGGCTACAAATCTGCGCCTTTCTAATCGTCTTTGTTCATTTCGTTTATCTTGTGCCTCTTGCGATTGTGATTCACGTAACTACATTGTTTCGTTGAATTAGTTCGTCTAATCTTTGTGCTCTTCTGTCTAGCATGACTCTAGATTTATTGTTTGACGACTCAAATTGGACCCTTTGCGTCTTGCTGGCATTGTTGCCTGTACATAGAATATATAAATAAATCAATTTGAAATACTTGTTGGTGAAAAAACAGTTAAATAATATTGTATTCATTTGTATAATAAATATAAGTGTTTTATTATTTGACTTACCTTTCAAGATAATAAAAAACGTATATTTATTAAACACATATACGTTTCTAATGATATAATGTTAAGCATAATATATATATGTATGTACAGGTAAAGTAATGGCCGTTGTTTGCGGGAGCTCACAACACGTGCTGATTTATTTCAGATTGCCTAATCGACTAAAACTGTAAACTGTCTTTATTAATTACTAATAAAATTTAAATAAATAGTAAGAGCACTGAAAGATAATGATAAATTCACTAGGAGAATTGCACTGATAAATTAAAACGATATGATGTCGTAAAACAGTCACTGCTACGATCGAGACCCAAATAAAACCAAAAAAAATATTGACGAAAACTGTATTCTCGTAGCACTAAGTAAATAGATTGGATGTGTGGATTGAAGAAATTAATCACTAAATATTAATAAAACTCAGGACTGTATTTAAAAATAAAGAAAAGAAAATGCCTATTACTGTGTTAGTAGTCTGGTTGTTTTAAAAGAGTTAAGTTTCATTTATCTTGCGTTGATTGCAAAGTTGTTAAATACAAAGCTTACGGGCGTCAGTTTTATTTCCACGCCTGTAGCTTGCAGATACGATGAAACTTTCATCCGAAGCTTTCTCTACTGAGGCTGATGAAACAAATTGTGGATTTATGCCACGCTACTGAGTATTACGACTTTTTTTGAAAACAAGTCTTTTAAACGAAATTTGGTATGGATTTTTATATCATTTTTGTATAAGAATAAAGTTTATTCAAATAATTCTATTTCTGTGCTATTTCGCTACATATTACTTTTAGTGATATTAATCTAAATCAAAATTAGTTTTAGGTGTGTATCCAATAACTAGTCATAATAGCTGCATTTCATTAATATTTATTGTACTTTTAGCAAAATAATTGTAAAATATTTGTTTATTAAATATTTTGTTATTTATATTAATAAATAATCGTCAACGTGACGCTTTATTGTTTAATATACGTCAATAGACTATTGTTATTTAAAAATACGTTACAGTATTATACCTGCATTAATCAATGAAAAATACAAAAATTGACATAGATATTTGTCTTTTATTTGTCTTTATTGATTGTTTATTGAGAAGTTGTGCACAAAGTAAACTAGGTTGCGTCTGGAATTAAATATAGCTCACTTTGTTGTGTTAAACGCCAGCAGGTATGTTTAGTAAAACAATATATAAATCCACGCGTACCACGAACTCCAGGGGCAACCAAAAACTACGAACTACCATTTTACATGTTCCTAACACACCTCGCTCGCTTCTTTCACTACATATACATTTGTATATGCTCATCGGTTAAGAATAATCTTATTCAGTGTATCTTTAATATATCGCCAATTTGGTCATTAAACTTCCGTATAGAGTGTACCTTGCCGATTCTGCCACTTAAATTTGCTTTGTCACTCCTTGCTAATTCATTCTTTCTAAATCATGTCCAAACCATCAAAACTATTCTTTATTTGTTAACTATACGCCGATCTTATTCTTAAGCATTTAATGGAACGTTATTTTTATGTGGGCTGCTTACTTATTGTTTATATATCTAAAGTATTTTTTGACTATTTTTTATAGAATAAAAGTGACAAGCGAGTACACAGTCTACCTGACGCTAAGCGGATAATGTGGAACATTGACGGTGGCGTTTAGCCTCAATTAAGAATCAAAGTGTAGATGCAGATTAGCGTCATATAGCAGCTCAATGCTGTTTGGTTTTGTATGGTGAGTGTAAAGAACCGGG